TCTCAAAGAATCAGAAGAGCTAAACCTTCAGATGGTTGAGAACTCCTCCCCAGTATCGACAGCCCTGCAGTCCAATATGACCGCCACTGGCCATGTTGCTACTTACATTTCAATCAGAACCCAATCCTTCATGAGATTAGTAAATAAGGGTGCTTGCCTTGGGCATTGTTATCTTTGAAGAACTACCTGTAAGGGGCAAATTAACTTACTGGAAATATTGGTCAGGAACCTTAACACCAGTGAGCTCATTTTAATGGGGGAGAATGGTTGCACAACTCCAGACTGTAATCCACATCACTGAATTGCACAGGAAGAAACTGATGGATTGGGGTACATCCAGCCCCTCAGTCTTGGCCACTGTCAGTTCTCAATAGTTGCAATGACTTACGGAGGCCAAGCTGCACAAAGCAGATAGAGCATCCCCATCACAGAAGAAATATCTATTGTGTTGCACTGGGTCTAAAGCAGAGTAAATCAGCAGGAGAAATCCAATGTCTCTCACCAAAGCAACGGATTTAAAGAAAAAAACGTTTTTTAAAGCAAAGTTGTTAGCCATCCCCCAAAAGGAACGACCCTTGATGAAAGCCCCATTCACACAAGGAAGAGCATCGTAATAAAAAACTGCCCTGAGTGTAATTCTGTAAGTCTAATCAGTATTTACATAATCTGAACAAGCATCTCCTGGATTACAACCAGAGCCGCCAATCACAAACATGGCCAACGTTATGCTGGCTAACAATAATTCACTGACTGCTTAGAAGTTAAGGGATAAAAGGTCCCGTTTATTTCTGGGCAAGGAGAAATAACCCAAAGTCCTCATAAACATAATCAGCACTTCATCCCCAAAGCAAGCACGGCCCACTGACCATTGACCATATAAGCAAAATCTCTGTGGAGAGTGTCAGACACATGGGTCTATTTTTAAACATTGGTATGAATAATCATTCAAAGTGGAAGGAGCTAGTCCTGAATCTGTGACAAGCTTTCCATGCGCGGCTTTTATTTTCCAAACCCAAACTCGCTGCCATCGAGCTGATGCAGACACTTGATGCGATAGGGCAGACAGGAGGGTTTACTAACACCCCACCCCACACCACCCCAAAAAAGAAAGAAAAAATCCCTGCTGGGGAGAGCTTTCCTAGCACACTTTTCCCCCATAGGCGAGCATCAAGGTCACCCAGTGGGGTCGCCTGGGAAGGTTCCCTCTGGTCACAGTAAATTTTTTCGTAAAAGAAGTTTCGCTCAAATCTTGTTTCTTGTGATGGCTGAGTTAATAGAACAGTATGCAGTTGTGAAATTTTGTTTCCTGTTTG